AAAAAAAAAAAAAAAAAACCCACAAACAAACAAACAAACAGAAGACCTCCAGAACTGCTTCAGAAAGTGGCAAGAATGGATGGGATAAGAGTGCTCAAAGCAAGGAAGCATATTTTTAGGGGCATTAATGACAGTGTCTTCAACTGTAATAACTTTTCAAAATTTAAATATTCATGATATTTGTTGATCATGATAGAGAAAACTTTAATAGCAAAACCTATGAAATGTCACAATGTAAAATAATATCATTTCCTTTGTTTAGTTCAGAATCAACAGGCACCAGAGGCATCTAGTCTCACTGAAAAGTTTTGTAAATGAAAAGAGCCATTTTTAACTTTGCTGACCTGACAGAATCCCTTCCCCTGGGCTAGAATAGATAACTAGATGAATTTTAAAGGTAACCTCCCCTAAGAAAGAAGTGCTACATCTGGGTTGAAATTCAACTGTCTCCACACCATGTTTTCAATATCAGCAATGTGAACTGTGAAAATGAAATGTAACCACCTGAATGAGATCAAGGCTGTAAAACCCTATAAAAGAAGGAATTGTAGCCCAGTACTGGGTCAATCAGGGCACTGCCATTAGGTGTGATCAACCCCCACTGATGGAGTAAATTTTTGTTATTTTACTTCCATTATGCTGCCTCTCTGTGTGTCACTTGCCAATTTCTTCATAGCAATCACACTACATATAACCTCATGTAAATGCTACTTGTTCCTATTGGAATCCCTTCTTTTTAACGAGTGTTACTGCTAATGCCAGAGAGGTAAATGACTCACATGCTACTGTTGTAAACATTTGTTCTTCAGTGGGGAATACATTTATATGGAAGATGCTATAATACAAGAATATTTGTCAAACTCAACTTGGAAATTTGTCTGGGTGATTTGTGGAAGATGTTCTCTTTAACAAATGCCTAAGAGTTGCTCAGGAGTGTCAAGTTCTTCATAGGGAGTTGAAATTGTAGCCAAAGTAACCCAAAGGTCATTAGTTTCAGTTAGCTCTATTGCCATACAAAATAGGGATGAAATTACCCAGAGACTTCAGCCAGACAGTGAGTTTCTTCTGATAATGATAGCATTTGTGGGGCAATAAAAAACCTACTTATCACAAATTAGAAGCCAAGTTTTGTCAACGTAATCGACAACTTGATTTGTGGATTCCAGGACCATTTCTAAAAGATGTGCTAAGAAAGATAAAAAAAAAAAAAAAAAACCCACAAACAAACAAACAAACAGAAGACCTCCAGAACTGCTTCAGAAAGTGGCAAGAATGGATGGGATAAGAGTGCTCAAAGCAAGGAAGCATATTTTTAGGGGCATTAATGACAGTGTCTTCAACTGTAATAACTTTTCAAAATTTAAATATTCATGATATTTGTTGATCATGATAGAGAAAACTTTAATAGCAAAACCTATGAAATGTCACAATGTAAAATAATATCATTTCCTTTGTTTAGTTCAGAATCAACAGGCACCAGAGGCATCTAGTCTCACTGAAAAGTTTTGTAAATGAAAAGAGCCATTTTTAACTTTGCTGACCTGACAGAATCCCTTCCCCTGGGCTAGAATAGATAACTAGATGAATTTTAAAGGTAACCTCCCCTAAGAAAGAAGTGCTACATCTGGGTTGAAATTCAACTGTCTCCACACCATGTTTTCAATATCAGCAATGTGAACTGTGAAAATGAAATGTAACCACCTGAATGAGATCAAGGCTGTAAAACCCTATAAAAGAAGGAATTGTAGCCCAGTACTGGGTCAATCAGGGCACTGCCATTAGGTGTGATCAACCCCCACTGATGGAGTAAATTTTTGTTATTTTACTTCCATTATGCTGCCTCTCTGTGTGTCACTTGCCAATTTCTTCATAGCAATCACACTACATATAACCTCATGTAAATGCTACTTGTTCCTATTGGAATCCCTTCTTTTTAACGTTAGCCCAGTACTGGGTCAATCAGGGCACTGCCATTAGGTGTGATCAACCCCCACTGATGGAGTAGATTTTTGTTATTTTACCTCCATTATGCTGCCTCTCTGTGTGTCACTTGCCAATTCCTTCATAGCAATCACACTACATATAACCTCATGTAAATGCTACTTGTTCCCATGAAAGCATGGTATTACACAGTCCTATTGGAATCCGTTCTTTTTAACAGGAGTTACTGCTAATGCCAGAGAGGTAAATGACTCACATGCTACTGTTGTAAACATTTGTTCTTCAGTGGGGAATACATTTATATGGAAGATGCTATAATACAAGAATATTTGTCAAACTCAACTTGGAAACTTGTCTGGGTGATTTGTGGAAGATGTTCTCTTTAACAAATGCCTAAAAGTTGCTCAGGAGTGTCAAGTTCTTCATATGGATTTGAAATTGTAGCCAAAGTAACCCAAAGGTCATTAGTTTCAGTTAGTTCTATTGCCATACAAAATAGGGATGAAATTACCCAGAGACTTCAGCCAGACAGTGAGTTTCTTCTGATAATGATAGCATTTGTGGGGCAATAAAAAACCTACTTATCACAAATTAGAAGCCAAGTTTTGTCAACGTAATCGACAACTTGATTTGTGGATTCCAGGACCATTTCTAAAAGATGTGCTAAGAAAGATATTAATTTTTAGACAGAATTTCCAAAGCAAAGAATGATTAGTTAATAATAATGACCATCATTGTCAATATTTAATAATATGCAATATTAGAATCTGAACTTCTGTAAAGAAAGTGGCATAAAGAGTAGAACGGAGCACTCTGAAACTAGCAAATATTTGCTTTATCTTTGAGTTTATGACTGCTATTACTGACAATCATTAGAATATAAAACTAAAAAGTTTCTAAAAGACTAAGTGATTTCTCACTGTCACTTTTAAAAAGAAACATTTAGAATGCTGAATAGAATTAAAATGATGATCATTTTATTATCTTTTCATCTTGTTCCTTCATTTATGCCCTTGGGGAAAAAAAAGAAGTAAAAATGAAATGAGCAAGGTTCCACATTATTTATGCAGATTTAGCTGTTCTCTTTGGACTGGAATATGTAACAATATATCGATGGCGACTTTTTATGGGACATTTATGGTAAGTGTGTAACTGAAGCAGGGCAATATATGATGGGACATCAAGTCCAGAAGATAAATTTTCGATATGACAGCAGCCCATTTAGTACGGGCAAGAGCAGCCTCTATAAGAACAAGGTGAGTAAATGTAACTGAGGAATAAAGACAAGGAAACATGATAGAGACGGAAAACTGAAGAGTGGCCCTTCACGTCTTTAACAGTGAACACGAACAAAGATCAGTATGGGATCCTCTTTGTTATCACAACCATACCCTAAATGGCAAAGCACCCTAAAATGGAAAACCCCAACACACTTGGAAGGTTTTTTCCAGATAATTGAAAACATACCAAGAAGCCTCTCTTCAATCTTAGTTGCTGTCTAATCAGTTACAATGAAAAAAAATCACCTGCGGGCAGTACAATTTCATTTATGGAAGGTCAAATGTCGAAGGTATTAATAAAAGCCCTACTTACATTGAGAAGCTCAACCTCCCAGATTTTTTTCAACAGGTCCATCGACGTGTAACCATTAATTAGGAAGGCTTTGGTGTAATCACCCAGTTCGATAGAATCCAGCCACTCGGCTACAGAGGTGGGATGGTAGCCGTCATGCCCAATGGGTCTCATCTATAATTAAAAAAAAAATCATTCCAAAAATCACATTAGAGTTGATTGAAACTGTTTATTTTCTGTTTCAACAACAGACTGCATCTTGCCACTCACAAATTTATCTGATAACAAGCATAAGATATTTCTGGATAGGGAATAAGGAAAAAGAAAACGCCTTATGCACAATTCTCAATCATTAATAGTTTTCACACTGAATTCGTTTTCAAAAATGCACCCAGAAATTTCTAATTTAGCTGCTAAATGAACTCTGTAGTTGAGAGGATGAAATATGTAAAACTTCTGTTAGGGGCATTATTGTCATTTTGTTGGATGGAGTTGACAATTATGTCAGTTGAGTGGTATTTGATGCTGAAGGCACCAGGAACTGCATTTCCAAAATACAGATGATAATTCTCATATGCACGACATCAAAGCATGTGAAAATACTGCATGACTTAAGCATTCAAAACGAATTCATGCTTATGCAAGACATGTATTGTAGGTAGTGCAAACACGCCGGAGAAACATACTGCTATGGTAAGCCAGTTAAAAAGAGGCTTCTGAGTGTTTTAAGACCATGTGTTCTGCTTTGATTCTACAGTATGTTAGACATGAACAGAGAACCTCCTGGCAGACAGGCTCCTATTTTTTGTCAGCTATATACAGAGTTTTAAAAAATTCTTTAGGAGAACAAAGAAGTGTGACCATAACATAATGTTTCTGAGTTTAAAATGGAATGTGCAAATAATTTAAGCAAGAGGAACTTCTGGGTTTAAAATCTTATTCTAGTCCTTTAGCCTTTATTTGAAATTTTAGTTGAATTTATGGTTGTTGGTTTTTGCAGGGACTCACTTCTAAAACTCATGCTACTTTGCATGCTATTCCATAGCTCTTACGCCGGAGTTACAAGGACAGGTGCCATCTCAGCAACCGACATCAGCTTTCAGTGAAATTCCTCACAGGCATAGTAACCTGGGTGAAATGCAACATAGATTTTCCTCCTCCTTCCAACGTAAGCAGATAAATATTAAGGGAAATCTATATGATTCTGATTTGTGAACAGAAAAAAGATTAGTCTGGGCCTCAGGGATTCAGATTGTAATCTGAAATGAGGTAAGCTTTCTGTCACTAAGCAGGGTTCTCTCATTTTTGAGTCTCTACTTTTTTCATTTCAAAGTTAGTTTTTCTCCTTCCATCTATCTGGCTATTTCACTCTCCAGTCCAATTTCCATCTTGAGGTTTAAATGGCCTCTAGATTAAAGGCGCAGTGCAATGAATGTATTATTTGCCCTAGAGTATGAACTACACTGACTTTTGTATGTCAGCTTTACGTTGGCTGAACCATTCTGACTGTTCATTAAAGACAAGCCCCCATGACAGTATTTATCACACAGTAGCTACAAATTTAAGTGACAATTCAGGGTTTGAAAGATGAGGTTCGGTGGCATTCTCAAAAAACCAAATGTTGTGAATGTATAAAATTGGAGCCAGGATCCAAAGTAGAGGCTCAAAGGTACACAATATGAAATGCCTTCCTATTCTAGAGAGAGTTACAAAGTTATTAGAGCCATGTGCATTCTCTGGGACTTTTAAAGAAGTGGCTGAACAGGATCTACTAACCTAAACAATCACTCCAGCCCCAGGAAACACCTGAAGTATTCCAACTGACATAAAGAAATAGAGAAAAGGAACGGAGGAAAAGAGATAGGAGTGAGGGAGAGAGGGAGAGAAAGAAAGAGAGAACCAAATTAAGAATAGAGAAGTTTGCCTTTTTCCAAATCCCTCCTTGTCCCAATACTAAAGAATTCAGAAAAGAGAGAAGGGCTAGTCCTTAGGAGAAGCGTAAACTTTGGGAGGTGGGATTGAAGGAAATAAAAACGGAGGTTTAATAATTAGAACTTAAAGGTAAGTATTTTACACTCCCAGAAAGTTATTGACATGTCTGAGATCACATGGAGAAAAAGCCAAGAGTAAGTCCATTGAGCTTGGTTGAAGGCAGTGACTGTGAAAAAATTACATTAATGTTTCGCTGAATGCAGACTGCTCAGACTAAGCTTAAAGAGGTTAGACAGAAGTAATTAAGTGGTGGAAGGATGAGCGCAGGGCACAGTAGAGTTCAGAGGCAAAGAGACCTTGGAAGTGGTATGTGGATGTATGCAAGGCAGAATTCATCCGTCCACTCATTTGATACATTTTTACCCGTTGTCTATTTTAATGAATGCTGCAGAAATAATAGGGAACAAAACAGTCATAGTCTCTCTCATGGAAATTGTAAGTCTTAATTAAAAATACGTGAACAGATGACCAATAAATTGTGAAGGCTCTGTATACCTGAAGAGAGGAAACCATTTCAACCAAATGAAGTTACAAAATTAACTTGACACATATTTAATGATATGCAGAATGGTTACTGTGCTGCACAATAATTTCTTCCAAAGCAATTCTCCCATCTGTTCCTTTATTTTTATTCCTACTGCCACTACCCTGGTTAGGTTCTCGTCAGTGCTCACAAAAACTATCACGATCGCCTTCCACTTGGTCTCCCACCTTTGGTTCAGTTTCTATCTTGCTACTACATTAGTCCTCCTAAAAGCCAGGCTCTTAGTCAACCCTTGGCCAAAAGTCCAGAGTGTTCTCTTCTTGAGAAAAGTCTGAATGTTCAGTCCAGCATTTAAGGCCAATAGAGATCAAAGTAAATTGATCACACACACACACACACACACACACACACACACGTGTGTGTGTGTGTGTGTCTAAATATCACATGAAACTGCTGGCCATTCCCCGAGCATGATCTATGCAAGACACAGTTGTATTTTTGCTAATATAATTTTCCATGCCTGTAATACTTTTGCCCTTATTCCTGGAATTATTTTTCAAGGATTTCTTGAGTGCTAAGATACAAATTTCTGGTAATAGGACATTTCATGTGGATGCATTATAGATATCATCCACTCAAGTAAAAAACAATTTATTTCATTCAGCTCAAAAACTGACTCTCCTCCAATATTTCCCATGCCAGACAATGAAGAACCATCTTCCATCTTTCTGTTTACCATCATCTCTCCTGAGGAAAACGAATCCTGTAACTTTGATTTTCAAGTTGTCTTTTAGTTCAGCCCCCTTCTTACAAAATGGACTTTAGGATCTGACAATCCCAGCAGTACTATTTATTTGTTGGGTGGTTTTGGGGAAGTTACCTACGTTGTTGAACCTCAGTTTCCTCTTTTCTAAAATCAGCACAGTAACATCTAGCGCAAATATTTGGTCTAGATACTATGATATAGGATATATAAATTGCCTAGCACAGTGGCTTGAGTATAACAGCTACTGAATAACTCAATTCTCTTCTGCCCCCATAACCCAAAAGAGAGCCCATGCTCTTTTTGAAGTTGCATGCTATTCTGACGTTGGCTACTAATCTTTTCAACTTCCAATCACAACTCTCCTCTCATCTTTTCTCCTTCCCTCTCTTCCTTTCTTTTGATGCAGAAGGGGTGATGTCTACTAACACCTTTACCCCCTCCCATTGGTGATTGTGATTTTTGGGAAACTTATTTAACAATGTCCCTCAAGCAGATGGACGTACTGCTTCCAGCTCTCTGTTCCCTGGGTGTTGAACTATGCTTTGGTACCCTTTGCCAAAAGGAACCACGGGGCAGCTCATTGCGGCTGGAGTCACTTCCCATTTCCACCCATGCTGGCCAGGGGGCTGGGCAGAAGTGTGAGTGGCACTTTAGGGACATGGCCTCTGCGCTGCTGTGGTCCTTCTGTGTTCCCATGGTGCTCTGATGATGTACATGTACACAGTTACTCCTATTTCTCCTGTGGTACTGAGGTCTGAGTGTGGGGCCTCTACACTGAGCTGTATCTCCAGCCCTTTTTAATGCCTCATTTTGAGGCAGCATCTCACTAAGTCACTGAGCTGTGCCTGAAGTTGGGCTCCCTCTGCCTCAGTCTCACAGGACGCTGGGACTACAGGCATGCTCTCAGGTTTTTCTTAGAAGAGAAACAGCTGCTGAGTAGTGGCATAACTACTGGTCACAGGAGCAAGAAGACTTGTGGTACAAACCTAAATTGAACCCAAGGCTTGGAGTCTACCCTCGCTCAGTGAAGTTAGGAAAATCCAGCTGGAGTTGGTTGAACCACAGCTAATCTGCGGACTCATAAGTAAGAGAAATCAACATTTTCGTTTTCATGGCTGTAAATTACTGAAAGACTGATAAACAGGGAAAAACTGAAGAGTGCTGCTCCTTGTTTCAAAAACATCGGTGTGTTGACAGTGTATCTATAGTCTCTCACTCAGGCTCCATAATTCATGAACTCCCTGGGAAATGAGACTCTGAGAAATTAGAAACGTTGTACCAGGCCGGCATCAGCGTCCTTCCTAGGCTACCTCACTGCTGTGGAGAAGCATCCGTGCACTACACTTTTAGGAACCCTAAACGAATACCCGTTCCCTGCGGGACGTTGGGGCCTAACCCCCTGTGTATCCTGTCCACCACACTCTTGCTCATGCCAGGGGCAATGTTGGTGCCCGCTCTCCCGAGATCCACCCTTATAAGAGCCTGTTTAAACATTACCCAGTCTACGAAGCTTTCTCTCATTTTACCCTTTCTCTGCAGGGGAAACTAATCCTATCTTCCAGGGCGGGGATGTAGCTCAGTGGCACCACGTCTGCCTGCAAGTACAAGGATATGAGTTCGATCCCAGGAAAAAAAAAAAAAAA